AATTTTAAATTAAAAATAAAATTAAAATAATTTTAAAAATAAAATTTATGCATGTATGAATTCTTGATTATACTACTAGATAAATATAATAAATAGAATAATATTCTTAAATAATTGCTTAGTTTTTGTCCATTCTAGATTTGGTTAAAAATTAAGGGTAAATTAGAGTAAGAATCCATTTTATGTAGGAGTTAAACAATATAAAAAGTAAAAAAAAATAATTTCAAAAAAATATTTTACTCATAATTAAATAATTTTTTTATATAATATAATGATGACAATTTTTTTATATTCATAAAAATGAAAAGTACAATTTATCTAAAAGTTATTAAAAATTTTAAATTGATCAAGATAATAATTTTAAGTTAGTAGTCTAACTGTGATTGAATTGAGATTGGCTTAATCATAATTAAAATAATATAATTTAATTAAAATATATAAAATATCTATATATGACTATGATAAGAGCAATATTTAAATAACTAAGACATTAATTTACATGTAAAGGAAACATTCATGAATAAATTATACATAATATAACAAAATAATAACAGAGCTACTTAAATACAAAGTTGATAAGTTATTTTTTATTTTATTCTTTTAAAATTAAGATAATATTTTATGCTTAGTAGAATTATTTAAAAATTAAAATTGGTTCAAAAAATAAAGAAAAATATTTTTAAAAAATTTTGGGTATTCGGGCCAGCCCGAAGGTGTTAGAGTCGAGCTTGGCTATACGGGCTTTTTAGAAGGGGTAAGATATTTTAAGCCTGATTTGAATAAGTCTAACCCCTCGAATTACCGGCTCTACTCTAATCCCACATGCTTCAGTCTCAGGTTCACTTATCCTCTGTATTACCGTCTCTATTCTGCTCTTCCTGATCGTGTGCATCTCCTTCTTTTGCTTTTTCCCTTTCTTCCACTGTGTTTTCATCTCTCTAAGTGCTGTGTATAGACCTCAGTTGCTTGCTCTATGTTTTTCCTCTGCTCTCTGTGTCTCTTTCTTTTGCTCTTCTTTTTTTTTTCTGCGTTTTATCTCTGGCTTCTTTCTAAAATGGCCAAAAACGCTCGTGTGCACGCATCTTCTGCAACCCGAACCTTTTTCTGTCTTCCTCTTTTCTTTTACATTTTCGTCTACCTTGGCTTCTATTTTTTGCGTCGATGAAAAGCCTTTTAGGGCTGTGGTGAAACATCGATGATTCAACATTTTGCCCAGCCCTTATCATTTTTTTTATTTTAATGCTTTTTTAATTAATTTGAGGAATTAGATAAAAGGAGAGAAAGAACAATCTGATTTTGAAATATATTATTTTTTCAAATAAAAAAATAATAAAATTTAAGGAGAGAAATTTAAAAATAGTAAATCCTCAAAATTGATTCCTAATATTTTTGAATGGTTAAGATTTTTTAAGATTTAAGCAAGAATTTTTCATTATTTTCAAAAGTGATTCTGAAGACCAATTAAATTCTTAATGTGTTTTTTATTTTGTTGTTGTTGTTATTATTATTATCATTTTTTTAAAAAAATATAATCTTAAAAAGGGATCAAATTTTATTTTTATATTTTTTTATATTTTTTGATTGTTTTAATGAACTAAAAAATAATATCCTAACTAATAAAAGATTACCTAGGTTAAAATAGAATTAAACCCTATCAATTAAATATTTTTTATTTTATCTATATTATTAAAATTTTATTTTTTTGGTTGATTTTATTATTATTTTTACTAAAAATATTCAGACAAAATATAATATTCACAGTGGTAAACTAGCAAGGGCAATGCTTCAATTTGTATTTAAGAGGACAATGGTTTCTTAAATACACTTTAACTAACAAGGATCATCATTATAATAATTTATGTTTGGTAAATTTTTTTAATATTTGTACAGTCCCAAGTAATGCGTACATATGCATTTTAAATCTTAAATATTTTAATATTTAAAAATGTATATTATTTATACATTTTTATTATATAAATTATTCACTATATCAAATTTTATATATTTTTATCAAAAATAATTTTTAAATAAATAATTACATATAATTAACCTATGTACTTTTTAGTAATTATACTTTTAAATATATTTTTTATCATATGTTATTCAAACAACTGACTTTTAAAAATATATATTTAAATATAAATTTTATTATAATAGTTAACTTTTATTTTATAAAAAATTAATTTTTATCAAATTGAATTTTGATAAATAAACTTTTAATAAATAAATTTTTACCAAACTGAAAACCTAAGGTACCCCTAGTTTTTGATTCCGTTACTTCCTTTTCCTCAGCTACTTTGGGTTTCGTTTCGTTGGCATTTTCTACTTTGCTAAAATAAGACCCAAGTGGAGACCCCTCAGTTCTCCACGTTGCACCCTAGCAAGCTGCCATCTGGAGTGGAGACCCTCACATGATGGCGTGATAATGATGATACCATTAAAAAATCGCGTGTTTGTTTGAATTACTCATCGAAATGCCGTGCTTATTTATTTAATACTCCCCGTCCCTTATGTAAGGTGCTTCGGACAATTTTTAAACATGTTAAAGAGTTATTATATTATTTTATTACTTAAAAAATCCCATCATACCTTAATGATAATGAAGCTATTAAAATTTTAAAGATAACAATTAAAAATTATTTAATATTTCAATTAAATATCTGATAATTTGGCTGACCTTTTATTTTTAAAAGACACTTTATATGAACGACTGAAGGAAGTATTGTTAGTACCACAACTGTCTAATTAGGGGCCATTTTCTTTTCTTTTTCTTTTTTTCTAACTACCTTTGGCAAGATTAAAACAACTTTGAACCCGCAAAACATGAATCACAAAAGCAGCCATGAATTAGATTGATGGCAAACCCTCTTTTAAGGATTACCATTTAGACAATCAAAAGTTTCGCGTCCATGTGGATAATTAATCCCTTCCCCACTTCTATTTTTTAAGGCTCCCCTGAACACTCCTAACGAAAAGAATTATATTTGATATAATTAATATAAATATAAATTATATTAATATAATTAATATAATTAATGTATATTTTAAAAATAAAAAATAATATATATATATATACACACACTATTCAAGATGGGCCAAAATGTTCTAAAAGTAATTTTGTGTTTCATCTCGTTCTTCTTTTCAAGCCAGGACAAGATTTGTTTCAATATATTTAGGATGAAATCAGGTCAATTAATACAGGTACAAGTTGAATACCCCTACTTTTTATGTTAAAAACAAGTAACTAAAATTTTATAATCTTTGTTATAATCATTATTTTATTATTTTAATATAAAGTTGATGTTATATTTTATCTTGAAAATTGCTTTTTCTCTATTTAGCAAGCCATTATGTTCTCATCTAAAAAAATTCGTTGGCCAATATAATGTTCCACATAAAAATCAACTCCCACCATGGAAGGCTAGTTAAATGGAGAAATAAATAACCTGGTGCCATTATTAGGTGCCTTCAAGAAATTAACAAGAGGAATATATATTGAATTTTAAAATAGGGAAAATGACAGGCTATTATTACAATTAAAGATTTTAAATGATCAAAATCTCAATAATGGAGCAAGTTCCTTATTTGAAATAAAAAAATAAGAATAGTTTAAAATAACCTCCAAAAGTGACTTTAGTAAATTTTTAAGGAATCATTGTATATTCACAAGTGCTCTTGAAAAATTTAAACTTTCAAAAATGAATTTTAGTTTTATACTATGAAACAATCTATTTTTAATTATTGTTTTTTGGCTTTTCAATCGAGATTAACAATATTCTTATCTTATAATAGCAACTTCAGCAATGTTATTTTCTTGTTTTCTAAATGGTCTGCCTATATATTAATAAGTATAAAAACTCACAAGTGTTTGGATTCATATTTAGCAGTCACTTTAGTAACTTTTCTAGTGACTATTATACATTCACAAGTGCCATTGAAAAATTTTAAAAGTGAATTTTAGTTTCATAATGGAAAACAATCTATCCCCATCTATTATTTCTTGATTTCCTAACTAAAATTAACATTAATCTCATCCCATGATAGATGATAGTAATTTTAATAGTGTTAATTTTTTTTATTTTCCAAGTGGAGGGCAATTTTGGAAACTTGTGTATGTTTTTAATTCCAAGCAAGCACTATGATCCATTATTAAAATTTTAATAATTTAGAATTCCTAATTGTAATTAATGGCCTTAGGGACTCTGTAATTGTCTTTTCCCTTCAAAATTCAGAGTACAAAAAAGAGGCTAAGTAAATAGAAAGATAATTTCAAACTTAAAAAAAGATAACTCTCAATTGCACTAAATGTCATGATAGGTTGGAAAATACTGATGTAGATTGCTAGCCTCTTTTTTTTTTTAAAATATCAGTGAAGTTTATAGTAAGATAAAAATATTAATATCAATGTCTGTGAATTTTAATTTGTTTGTTGCATTTTTTTCATGGGGACCTTTTGCTAGCATTTCTCAAGGGGACAATTGAAACAAAATCTAATTCAAAACCTTCCTTCGATACTTCTAGGAGTCTGAAGAATTGCCAAGTGCATTCAAGTAAAAACTCTGCCTTTTCTTTTATTACAAAACCACGATAAAACACCGTGTTAAAAAACTAAGGTCAAAAGCCAGTAATGTCTCCCTCTGAGTTCTGTGCTCATTTCATAATTTTGCATGGTGACAACGTTCTAGGTTCTTTTCTTTCTAATTTTCTTTTTGAACTTGAAAAAGGAGAGCAGTTTTTAATTGAAAGTAGGTGAAGTGAAATGTTACCTAGCAAGGAAACAGAATCGAGAACTTGAAGAGCTGGTATTTGCTTCCCCCTTTTTAAAAATTGGGGGGGAAAAAATGACTACCAAAATTGGCCTCCATAAAAATTGAAGTTCAAGAATAACAAAAAAAAAAAAAACCTAGAAATCATTCTTGGCTAGGGAAAAAAAAACAGCAAATGAGATTTACCTTTTTAGGGGGGGGAATCTCAAAATCCACCACCCTTGCATATCAAACTGGATCCAGAAAATCATGGTAAAAAAATTCATCCAAACCAAAACATTAACTGTACAAATCAATAACCTCATGAAATCTGCATCAATCAAAAATCTAAATTCCTTTTGTCTCATCAACTTTATCTTCAGATCGTAGTAGTGATCAATAAATCATTATTCCCCCTACTTGATATATAAATTACTACCAAAATCGAGCTCAGTGACTGAAGAAGGACTCATATTCCAGAAAAGCCTGACTTCCAATCACCCTAAAAAAAAGGTAAAAAGAAAAAAAGAAATTGTGGTATTGCCCGAGGCTGGATGCTGGATTAGGGCTAACAATTTTAGGGTGGGGTGCATTGATTATGTCCAGTTTCAATTGGCAATGCCAGTTGCATTTGGGAGTTCTATCTGACTAGAAGCCTTGGCTGCAGATTTTGCTGGATAGACATCTGAGGTGGGGTTTGAACAAACTTAATCGGTGGTTGATTCTTCTAGGGTGATCTTCTGAAAGTCACCAACCAGGCTATTGTGATTGGATCCGCCAGGAGACGCCAAAGCAGAATCAACCCGAAGTTGAGCCTGAGAGGATGGCAGCCATGTCTTCCATTCATTACGCCTCCTCAACTTGTCACCCTGCAACAAAGTTGAGGATGAGAAATACATCTCATAATAAAAGATGAGCTATGTCCTCTTCTACATTAAACAAAAAAACATTTTCATCACTCATGCGAACTATACCCACTGCATAACCACATGCCATTGCCACTGAACCTAAGTGATAAGAGAAATTAAAATGGATAATTGAATAGTACAGGAAATTCATATTTTGGCCCACACATGGTAAAAGATAGTTTCCACAAAACAGTTAGCTTAAATTTTGATTACCTGTACTTCTACAATGGTGGAAGTTCTTAGTGAATCCAGTATCAACTGAATGTTGCTTGTCAGACTTTTAACCTACAAAAGAATTGGAGAAATAAATAACCCAAGAAATGTATGAAAAAATAAGTAATATTTGGAATTTGACAGTCATAATAGCATAAACTGACTAATGACAAAATTTGAAAACACACTGGTGACATGAAGAGCATCTAATCACTTCATAAGTTGTATGCCACTCTTAAAACAATTGGATCACCATAATGGGTAGATGTTCAGATATAATCCCATTTTCTTTTTGGAACGAAGAGGGGGGAGGTGAGATTACAAGTACAAATTGATGAAATATACACTTGCTGACACAATGAATATTGATAAGTAGTTAAGGATAGGAGACTAGTGTCCTAAAAAAATTTTGGTATCATCTGCCCCATTTCCTAACACACAACACTATCTTAACTCATCATATATTTAAAAATTTATTTCTACAGGAATCAGACTATAATGAATCATTTTCCTAAAAGAAGAGAGTACTTGTGAAATCAATCTTCCATCCAAAAGAGACTTCAATCACTTTCTAACTCTCAATTATTCTTTAATCAAATAGTCAAACAACCAAACCATTACAATTTCCTCCCATCTTGAGCCATGGGGTCTGACATAATAAACAATTGCACTACCAGCTTAAACAAACTGTCTCAATCACAAGGATATAATTGACCAATATCCACCTATCACATTCCACCATATATCGGTGCCACTGTAAAGTTCTATAAGGACCTTTCAAGGCAAAGGAATATGAACATATTTTATAGTTAATATAAATACATAAACAATTACAATAAAAAAAAGGTATGGATAGGAATTGCAATTATCCATCAACAATGATAACTTTGACATGTAAAAAAATATCTAGTATTAACTACCAGTTAAAAAATTTACAAATCATGAGGGAATTTAAAATAATTTATCACAAATTCAAAGTAGCAAATAACAATCAAATTGATCATTTCAGCCAACAAGCTGCAACATCATTGCTTCTTCCCCCTTGATTTCCGATATATTACAAGGTCAGGCAGCTGAATAAGTAAAAAAGAATATTCTCCAATATGCACAATGTAAATCCAATTTAATTTTTCATGAAAAGGCTTTTATATGTTACCTTTCACATTGGTTGCTTATTATTAGTTCTAAAGCAATAAAACCTTCAGTTGGCTGGGTAAAGCAAATCCTTGAAAGGTAATAATCTCTGTAACACACACCAGACTAACACACACAAACACATATCCTGGTTCATATTTTGGTTTCAACAAAATAAAAATGTATGGATATATTCAGAGTTTCTAAAGTTAAAAGGCTAAAGTAGAGTTTACTGAAGCACAATTGACTTACCCGAGGAAAGCTTGCTATCAAACTAATTGAAACCCAACCCTGTTCATCCATATTGGACCTTAAATACTCATCTTTTACTAGATTAGCATCACTGTAAAAAGAAATCAAGGGTGAACAGATAGTTCAAGTATGGCACATTTATTGATAATTATAAAATAGAAAAGCAGAAAAATATAATCTGAAGTAATAAACTTTTTATTTGGCACATAACCTGAAGTAATAATCAATTTGATTCACTATCATATTGGCCAGGGGTGATTCTGCAACAGGAAAGAACATTGCAGAAGGAGGGCTATGGGTAAAGAATGGCATACCCCTAAAGGGTTCCAATGGTAGCGTTGGGAAATAATAGTACTCTGAAAGACAAAGAGAATGATGATCAGTTGTACATTATTTTGTAAAAATAACCATGGGTAAAAAAGGAGGAAAAAACTCACCAGGAAAACCCACAGTGTTTGCAAAGGGTGCTACGGGCTGAGGAGCCACAAATGCAGCAGTATTAGGTGGCAAGTGCCTCACCAATCCCCTAGGAGGCATTCTCTGTTGATTTACATGAGCATCCCTACTATTTGCATAATTTCCTCGATCCTGATCACGTCTGCCCCCATAATTGTTATGATAAGAACCATCAATACGTGAATGGGGCCCAAAATTGCCCCTGCGGGTGGAATTCCGATGATCATTCACAACAGGCATAAAACCCCCAACTGGGGGCCTAGGATCCCAGCTATTCTTTTTGTAAAGAAGCTCTCTTGAGGAAGGATCAGGAGCCCCTGGTACCACAGTATTATAATTACTTGGAGGGATCTGAAGTACCGGAAAAGGTGGCGGCGGTGGGGGCTGGGGAGGATTAGGGAAGCTATTTTGTGCAGGACCAGCTCCAATGTTACTGCCACTTCCACGCTTCATCATCGTTCTTTGTCTATTATATGTGCTATGGTTTGTTGCGAAATTAGGTTTTGCATTACTAGCAGCTTGTTTGTGAGGGGTGTGTGAAGTAACAGGCTCCTACAATAATGGCAGGATCAGCATGCAAATAAGACAAGCTACAGTTTCTATAAATATAACATCGTTACTCATGAAGATACTCTGTTCAATTTCTTAAAAAAAAAAAAAGGAAACGACATATGAAATCCCACAAATATTGCGCAGAAATTGTTAAGTTGTTAAATTACTGGAATACAATAGCAATATTTTTTACGGAATCTTCAAACAATCCATTCAATCAAGTGTAAAATGAGGGCAAGTATGCAAATAAACCTGAGAACTGGGGAGTAATCCATCGGTGGAAGCCTTGGAAGACGATTCAGCAGGCAATTTAGCCGGAGCCTTGGTGGATTCAGACAGCGCAGGCCAGGAGACAGCACCCATTACAGGGCTAACCTCGACATCGCCGTTAGCCAGCTTGTTCCAAGCAGTTTTCTTAGAACGAGCTGCATTGCCGTTACTAGCATCAGAGATATCAGCGGCAGCCGTATTAGAATTATCCAGCGGCGGGGAACGAGGAGCCACCTTCGGATTGGAATCAGACGCTGACGGATGATCGAACACGGAAGTAATGAGGGAGGACAGAGAGGAAGAGGAGGAAAAAGCTGATGAGGATGATGGCGGCGATTGGCGAATGCTGGAGAGTGATTCGGACTCACCACCCCTGACGACTTGAGCCCAGGGGGAGGGCAAGTTTTTCCGCGGGAACTTAGGGCTATTGGTATCCCCAGTACTAGTCGGCGAGTGATGGTTAGAAGAAGAATCAGGTGCGGTAACCATTTCCAATTAGGGTTTTCAAGTTTTGTAGAACCGCGAAGAGATTGATCAGCGTATGACCCAGAGCATCAAATAAAATAACGAGATTAATGAATCGATGAGGTGGTCGAATAGAACTTAAGACAAAAACGAATTAAAGAATAAAAGTTAGGGTTTGTCTCGGTGAATTGACGACTATGATGATAGTGAGGACGGATCTTGTTCGGGTAAATTCCCTCTCCCTGACTAGCAGAACCCAAAACCAGCGATCTCTGCCCCCTCCCTCTCTCCCCCTCCCTCTGTCACTCCTCCGTCTCCCGTATATCCGCACCAAAACAACAGGCAGGCTTCTGTTATGAAACCTAAACTTACAAAACAAACCCTTTTCTATATATATATATATATATATATTATTTACAAGTTCACTTTGATAGCAATTTTAAATTTACCTTTTTAACATTCTCATTTTTAATCACCAAATTAACCTCCTCAATGGCCGCCTAATTAAAACTTGGTTTGTCTGTCTATCAGACCGCGGCCTCGTAGAAACCTAATTGGGGTGCGACTTTCTTACCTGTTCTTTTTTCTTTTTTCTTTTTGGATGATAAAAGGAGAGCTCACTTGCCCTTATTTCTTTCGTTCTCTTTTTTATTTTCCTTTCCGCGTACATGTTTTTCTCTTTAAATGTGGGCCAATGAAAATCATACATTATATAAAATATATATGAAAAATGAACCATATTATTTATAATTTATAGATTGTATATATTATGATTTTTATACAATATATAAAAATAAATGTGAACTGAATCAAATCAATAAATTATGAATTTTAATTTAACTTCGTGAAAAAATTATAATAAGTTCCGTTTAGCCTATTACTATCTTAATTTGGTCCAAAAATTACAGTATAACAGTTATAAAGCGGATGCCTTCTTGCATGTAAAATGATTTATAATGTTTCATTGAATAAATATTATAAATAACAACATAGCAACAGGTCAACAAATATCAAGCCCATACAAACAACACTCTTTTTATTAAAAGAATAATCGTTTTTCATGCCAGACCCCACCAAAGTTTTCTTCCTCTCGATTGATTGAGAGTAACCCCTTGTATAAATTTTTATTTTTATTTTTATTTTTATTTAATGAGAAATCTGTATCAGGAGAGATTGATTTATCGGAAGAGATTAATATATCAGAACACGACAAATTATATTCATGTTGAGAAAAAGAAAAAAACTGTCACGGATTATTATAAAAAGGGAAGAGGGGGGGGGTGCATGCTAATCAGCCCCCAGGGACCGTTCATGTCATCGGAGAGGAGCAAGACTCGAAAACGTTAGGGAAAATTGCATAGAAGTCGTACAAGAATCCTAAATATTAAAAGTTCCACAAAATGCAAAAATAATTTCAAAGTTCCGGTATGAAAATGGGAAGAGGAAGGCTCTCTGCAACTGGAAGCACGGGGGATATCAAGGACAAATTTCTTCAGATCAAGAAAGGGCATCGGACTTTGCAGTGGAAGCATTTGAAGGAAAAGGAAAAGGAGTGCTTAGTGTTCGAAGTTGCCTAATTGCTTCATCATTGTTGTGATTTGCTGCTCAATCACCACCAAAGTCTTTCCCTTTTTCCATGGGATTCTCAGTCTTGGCTGGGTATTGTCCCATTCCTACGGTTTCTCCAGTGGAATTAATTGTTTTTATTTGTGATTTTGATTGCGGATTCTCTTCGCCTCTGCTCAATTATCCTTCTTGTTTTTACCCTTTTTTTTTTTTTTGCGTTGAAAAGGGTCGGAGATGAAAATTGCAATTGTGAAAGAAGGATTATGACTAATGAAAACAGTGGACGCCAATGAAAAGTGGGGAGAGGTTTTCCTTTTTCTTTTTACTTTTCAAAATAAGAGTGTTTTAATAAATGTATATCAATACTTGTTCACAATTAAAACCTTTGGAACTTCAGGGTTATTTTTGCATTTCATGCGCTTTTTAATAATTAAAATTTGTGTGTGGACCCATATGTGATTTTTTCAAAAAACTATTATACAGTATAAGTATAATTTTCCTGTACCTAGTCCAGCTATATAGTTAGTTGGCACTTGGACCGAAAAAATCCATTGAAAAAAAATAAATATTTAATTCTTATAATTTTAATTTAGTTATAACTTAATCTTAAATTTTAATAATTATAATTTAATTTTTAAAGTTTTAATTCGATTATAAATTAATCTTTAAATTTTATATCATGTAATTTAATTTTTATAATTTTAACTTCTCAAATATTTATCCTTATATTTTTAAAAATAAATTTATAAAGATTAAAAATGTTTTAAAATTTTAATATTTATAAATATTAAAATGGTTTAATAATTTAAAATATTAATAATAAATTTTAAAATATTTTTAATATTTATAATTTAATTTTTAAAATATAATCACTAATATTTAACAGGTTGAAATTTTAAGAATTACATTATAAGGGATAAAGTATAAGAATTGATTTATAACTAAATTAAAACTTTAAAAATTAAATTATAATAAATTAAAATTTAAAGATTGAATTATAATTAATTAAAAGTATAAGAGTCGAATGATTAAATTTTTTATTCATTAATAAGCTGTTAACACATAACATGTTGCCACGTGGATCAACAAAAATTAAATAATAAAAACAGTGCTTTATCGTTTTCTTTTTATGTAAAATAAAATGCAAACAACCCAACGGCAGATATTGCTAGCACAAAATTTGAAGCAGAATTAGAAAATAACAATTATTTTGCAAAACACCCAGGCTTCGTTCGATGCAGGGAAAGATATTGGCCAAAAAAAAAAAGGATGCAGGGAAATATAAAAGAAAAACATAGAAAAGACAATACTAAAAAATTAAAAAATAATAATTTTTTATTTTTTTCAGAGGGTTCTCTCCTAGTAATTTTTCTTATATAACTTTTTTGTTATCTAAACCAAAAGTATGAATGAGATTCATTTCTTCATAATTTTCCTCAATAAATCAGTTGAGGAATATTCGCTTGGATGTGAAACTGCTGGTCATGATTTCATTGACATTTTTAGGAATTTTAATTTTCATTGTATAAACAAATGTTTTCTTGGTAGAGAATTGCCCAATATTTATAGTTATATTGTTGTGTGGATTTGATATCTTTGGATTGTGGAAAGAAAAACTTGCATAATCAATAGATATTGAATCTAACTAAAGATGCTAATCTTTCACAATATAATAAACTAATATTTAAATTCTCATTCAAAAAGTTACAAACATCTAGTACCTAATTGACAATTGTATATTGAATAAAATTACCTTCAATAAAAAAAATACATTTAAGCAATAAAAAAAGAGAAAAAATTGCATAATACTCCCTCATCTTAAATTATAAGATACTTTTAAATAAAATTATGCATACCAATAAGATTAATTAAATAAATTTTATAATTTTATTTTCTTAAATAAAAATATAAACTTTCAGCAATACACTCCATTTAATATTTTATTTATAAAAGAATATTCAGTGAAGAGAATATAATTGAAATGATAATATTAAAAAGATATTATTACTAAAATCTTATTTTTTCAAAAAATTTTATATTTTATGACATTAAATTCTCATCAAAATTTAAAGTGAATGGAGTATAATGTTCTGCATAGACTTATCGCCAGCTTACCCCGATTAACTAAGGATATATATTTGGATTTTCGTGCATTTCATCGCTTATTTATTGATGATATTGTTATTAACGAGTGGCGGACAGAGAAAATTTGGATCGTGGGAGCAAAATTTGTGACTAAATAAAAATCAATTTTTAAAAAATGTTATTATAAATATTTAATTAATTGATATGAAAATAAATTTTGCTGGAGTTAAGTGCTGAGGATACAATACAAGAAATGAAGAATATATCATATTCTTCCTTCTTTAGCTCCCACAACAGCCCTTCTACCTTCCCACTGCGCAGCTGTGTTTTACTAACTTTTAATGTGCAAAAATACGCTTTTACTCTCAACAAACTAAACGGTCAACTTTTTTTGGGTGTAACTATACGTTCAACTTTAAAATTTTATTTTTTGACCAAGAATAATAAGATGGAATTAAAACAACTTTAAAACTCACGTGTAAGGTATGGATTTTGAACATATAATATAATAAACTAAAAACAATATGTCAATTTAAGATGAATTGGTAATCTCAGGTGATTAAAAACCACCATGCTCTGTTTTTCTCTTAAAAATAAAAACCCGTCTACTAACTTTCCCAATCCTAATCTCGGTAAAGGATAAGATTGTTGACGCTATATTTCACATAAAACAATGTTTTCATCCTTTACACAAAACAGATACAATGCGACTCTCATAAAGTCCTGTGTTGAAAAGTCAATGAGTGCTATTCTATTATATTGAAACGTCATTTTATATTTTTTGGGTCATTCCAAGTTTCTGAAAATAAATAGCAGAAGCTGATTTTCTAACCTACCTATTAGGCCATTAAATTAAATATATATAAATAACAGTTTTAATTTCATTATAGTTTTTTTAAATGCTCTTTTTAAAATCCCTCCAAAAATATTAAAAATATACTTAAATAATACTAAAATATATCTTTTACTCCCGTTCCAAATTACTCTATAAGATAACATTGGAGAAATTTGTTATAAAAAAATACATGACAGTTTAAAGAAAAAGAATTTGTTAATGCTATTTTTTAATATTATATTTTAAGTGGATAAATAATTAAAATGATATTTTAACATAATGTTTAAATATATAGAGATATTTTAAAAAAATTATAATTTTGTTTGAAAAAATAAACCCATAAAGTGTGATTATTATATATTATTAATATATATAATTTTATTTTAAGTTGTCTTATAATATAATACGGAGGGAAATTTTTTTTTATTTGGTACATGTTTCCTCATATTCACGACAACTGTCTTCCAATTAAATGAGGATTTTTTTTTATGGTAATAATTAAATGACGATTATTGAAATGCTGGGAGAGGACAACGTGAATGGGCTTTTCATTGGAAAGTGGTTGGGCCCTCGTGTTTGGATAATGAGCGAAGAGGTTAAACGTAAGGCAAACGGACACGTAACATCTCCAATCATTACTCACTAACACGTGGCAGATAACTACTGATACAATGATGTTTGCCGGACCTCTCCTTAATTTCTTTCTTTGGTGCCATTTTTTGCTTCCTTTCCTCCTTCATAGTAACACCTTAACCAAAACGCGTTCGTTATGCATCATTGTCTCAGGAGTCTCCCTTATCCCTAATAACTAACTTCTCTTTCAATTCCACAGAATTACATTATACATGCTCTTCTCTTCCTTTTTTTTTTGTTGTAAAAAAAATTGTTATTTCTCGACAGCAACAAAAATTACTCTATAATTTCAAACATTAATTAACTTAATATTTAAGAAATGATCAATATTCCACCCAATCGCCCAATGTTTATTTTTTCAGATTACATATATTTAGTATCAAGCTCAAATAAGATTATCATATCATGCAAACTGCAAACTGTAAAGTGCTGGCATTTCTTTTGGGTATAAGAAACTACAGGTAATTTTACTGGCCACAAAAAAAGATACAGGTATTTTTTGCCTTTAGCATTAAATATTTAATATTGAAATGAAATTGAGAGGGATAGTTCCTGAAAAAGAGAGTTCGTTAGGTTAATCAACAAGTGCCGAGTGATGTGTCCACGTAAGAGAACGCAGCGTGTCAGCAAATCCTTGACCATTTTTGTGGCGGTGGTTGCTGCCACCTGGATTCCTTCGCTTTTTCTTGTCTCCTTCTCCTTCTCCCCAATCAAAATATCTCTATATATTATATATAGACACAAACACGCTCACACAACGTGGTGCGTGTGTGTGTACATATTTAATTTTAATACCATCCCTCCATCTCTCTAACAAAGGAATCCCAGAAAAAAGTTTTTCTTTAGGCTCTTCTACCTATGTTGCGATCATATCAAAATGACAAACACTAGGTGGTTCAAGTTGATCATATCTCCCATGCCAAGAGTAGGTGAGTTCAAATATTTCTGCAACTCAATTCTTTTTTGTTTTTTTGTTTTTGTTTTGGTTTGAGTTTCTCAGCTTTCTGATACTGATTATGAGAGCTTTTAAGACAATTCTCTCTTTGATTCCTTCCGTCCCTTGTTTGTTTCGTGTTTATGATTACTTGAGAGATAAGAAGTTCTTCACGTGTTATATATCCAGGTAGATCAAGGAAAGAGAGCGATGAAGATAGCTTGTGCAGGAAGCCAAACGTCAATGAAGAATACCAGGAAGCTTTCAGAACAAAATCTTACATGGAAATATGCAGCAAAGCACAGGGGCAGCTGGTAAACGCAAGCATCACCACAACACCTTCTTCTTCGCCATCTTCGTCTCTTCCTTATTCCTTGCATCTCACTGAACATTTGCTCGAACCCCAACAAGAGACCGTTACGAATATGACCCAAACCTTGAAGAGGCATCATCTTCTGTTGGAGTACTTCGAAGCTAGCTTGGAGGCATGCCATTACTGCGACACAATCCTTGAAGCAATCCTTCATATGCATGTTTCGTATAAGAAAATCACGAGGGTCCTGAAGCTGAGCAAGTTTATGCTTGATTGTCCAGACACAGACCGAACCCACAAGGCGATCTATAGAGATCTTGCTTCCTTCGCACGACAAAAGAACCCTTTTTCCATTATCAGCTCCTCTCAGTTCCGCGACATTCACAAAGCATACGCGGGGCTTCTGCACAGACTAAAATCAGAAGATCGGAAGATTCGAAGAAGAGAGAGATTTAAGAGAATTTGCAAGATGGTTGGAGGAGTTGGTCTTATCATCTTGCACGGTGCTATTCTGATTAGTTTGCTAATTTTTGCGTTGCATAGCATAGTTGGCACAGTGGCAGCACCCTGTATAGTAGTTGGCTTGGTAGGTTTATTCAGGAAAAGAATCAAGCGGGCTCTGGGTAGTGATTTTGGAAGACAGTGTGAGCAACTTGATATTGCTGCTAAAGGGGTTTATATGCTGATCAATGACTTCGATACCATGAGCAGGATGGTTAAAAGGTTACAAGAAGAAGTGGATCATCGGCAAGCAGTTGCTGATATGTGCGTTAAGAATGGCAAGTGTGAAATACTGAAGCAGGTTTTGAGGGAATTTCATGACCATGAGTCTAACTTTTTGGATCAGTTAGAAGAGCTTGAAGAACATATCTATTTGTGCTTTCTCACAATAAACAGATCCCGAAAACTTGTTCTTCAAGAAATTATGGAGAAACAATAGTTGAATAATTCCATACCTTTTGTCTCTGCTTTCACATTTCAAGGCCGAAGGAGGTAGCAGCAACGAGCATCTAGTCTAGTTCCAATTGAAACTAGTGATCAGCCAGAATGTACGGCTTCAGGACATCAAATTTTGGTGCTTATTCCCCTCAAGTGCCTGATCCTTTGGTCACACGGACGGAGTAAGGAGTGGTCTCCATTGCATTTAATAGTTGGTTTTGACCATTTTAGTTATGTGGTGAGTGATGAAAGATCAAATCGATTTTTCTTGTTTTGTCTTCTTATATTATAATATGACATATCTCTGAAATTACATCCAAAAATAAAATCTTAAATGTACAAAGCCAGAGCCAAGAAAGCTCCAAGCTAGAAATGCAAGCAGAAACCACGCTCCGCTCCCACCGCGGAAGCGAACGCTAAGCTCAGCGTAGCGATTTTTCTTAACAAAGCAAGTTTTGTAATCTTGCTTGCAAATAATAATAATAATAATAATAATAATAATAATAAAGCAAGTTTTAGAATCAAGAATTCATTATCTAACATTTCATGGAATAAGTTGAAATGTGTTTGAGTAAACAATTTTGTTTTCATATTTCTCTGGTGAGATTGCGTCTGTACCCCATGAGTCCATGACTAAATTTAAAATTCAAAACGAAGAAAGGCGCAAGGAAAAAGCGGCTCCGAGCAACAGAGTTACAGAGCTTATAAATCACATCGTTGCTCATGAAATCAAGCCCATTCATGCAAGAATCCATTGAATAATTAGCAAATAACAAATTCAATCAACAAGTAGTTCTCTACCCTCCCGTAGCTATTGTTCCCACCTCTGACCATATACATTATCTCAAGAAGGTGATATGTATGCATTGCCGAAAGGCATATCATATATATTGCTAATTGAAATCAAGCAATAGATATTCGTTTTAAATAACAGAAAATACACTAACAAAGTAAACCTAAAGGCTCCTTTGACGTGACACAAAACACAAGCTCTGCTGCTCTGGTATCATCCAACATGTAGCATGCATTTGGCGCCCCATCAATTGAGGGTAAAGAAATCTCGGAAGCACTAGGATAAGGCGCGAGACTTGTTTAGATTCTTAAGGTTCCATCGTGGGACAGACAAAAGATTCATGAGACTTGCCTCAACTTCTTGTACTCCTGAAGTCCCACGAGTGAAGCCTTGATCTTGAGCCAATCAGCAGGTTTTGGCATTATAATAGCAATATATCCTTCTCTATCTGCCTAGGTGTTGTTAAAAAAAAAAAAAACATAAAACAATAAGATCGCCCAAAAGAGCTAATAGATTATTGCCAAGAAAAAAAAAAAAGCAAATGGAAAGATGAAATATGCAAAGCTTGGTGGTGCTAAATCACGATGAAGACAAGTCAGATGCAAAAACGAATATGCAATTAGAGAATACATAATGCCACTATTTGTTTATCTTAAAGAATCAACGGAAAGTATAAATTTTTTTGCTTCAAGTAGTTGAAGTAAATAATTCTCAATTGAACTACTTGGAAATTTCCATCTTTTGCAATGAGAAAGGTTATCTATGTTATTTCGGCGTGACAGAATCCGCCTGAATAAGTTTTTACTTTTAAAAGATTTACACTTGGGGAGGACTACGCTGCTTCTTACCGAAGTATTAAGCAAATCTGGCTGCTTGATTAGTTGCTGATTTACTTCCAAAAGAGAGCCTTTGACACGACACCTTTGAAAAGACACCAAAAGCAAACTTAAACAACAAAAATATTTAAAGATAATTGCAAAAGGAAAACAGCCGAAAAGTATATATTATTCATTTACCAGACCCTAGATTATGAGGATTTATTACAATTTGAAAAGAAGTTTACCTTACTATATAAGAATCATTACAAGTAGAAATTTTACACAACGCTGTGTTGGACTCAAAATGTTGAGCATTCTGCACAAGGATGTAGTTCTTTTAATAATACAAAAGTAATTGAAACTTGTATGATTTACATCTTGACGGTATATTAGCACATGACATATATAAAGATCCTGCAAGTATATTACAATGATAAAACCATTCCAGTCATAAAATCTAAAAGTGATGGAGCAGAAGGCATGCTTGATGTCTCAAGAAGCAAGAATCAGCAACCCAAGCAATTCTTGACGGTTGAATAGAGTTTTTTTACACATAAAACATCAATTAGCACATTGATTGAATACAAACATCATAAATAGTAGAATGATGATAACACAGCAATGGTTGGTAAAAACTAGCAGATTGGTCAAATATAATTAACATTGGACTGACCTCATTTACTTCCATAGCATGGTCACATTTTAAAAGTGGATATGAGTAAATCTTTTAATGTCAAAGACCATGCAACGTACCCAAGCAGCTTAAGATATGCAAATGCAACAAATTAGCTCAAGTTACTTGAGTATACCACAGAATTGTGACTTTAATTTCACAAATCCGTTCATCAAAACAAGCAAACATAGCATTAAAAAACCAACTAGAAAGTGCTTCAAATTTATCCCAAACATTAAAATGCATTTATAAAATTGGCCGTGGCGTTTGCACCATCCTACGCATCTCCTCATGAAAGACCGCCTCAGTCCTTGTTTTACTTTCTTTATACAAGAGGCAAGTCTTAATATGAGCTATTCATCTACGAGTAAGATATAAACCAAAAAATAAAGGTTGAAAGGGGTATCCTATTTGTAAGGTGCAAACTATTTATGCAAAGCATTCATATAATGACAATTCGTGTTTGTTGAGCATAATCAAAGACTGAAAGTTGCTTCATTTAGGATATCCGCGGATATAAATTCCAGACAATGGCTGGAGGGAACGAGAGAGAAAACATACCTTCTTCCGCTTTCCTGTGACCTTAACGCCGCTGCGATCAGACTTTCCAACATTAAAATCCACAGCTGTGATTCCACCTTCATCTTTGAAAGCAACGTGGGAAGGAGCCAAGCCGATCACACACAAGCTTTTAAGTCATGGTAAAAAAGAGGGGGGAGATTTGTTGTTATAACCCGGACGCAAAGCCGAATGCTGCTAAAAGGAGATAACAAAATAGAATTATACCCATTGGCGTGCCGGTAAACATACTGATCGTGTCCGGGCTTCATAAAATCTGGATATTAAAATTAGGCGAAAGAAAGACATTGAAGCAACATCCAAACAAAAAATTAGAGAGCGTTTTCCGCTGATACTTTTTAGCAGACGAGTAAAAACATACACGCAACAGGGAAATAGCTGAAGTACGTACGATAAAGTTCGATTTCAATAATATTCACATCACTCGATGGGGTTGAGGATTTATATAAGGTTATGCGCACGAATTGCTTTTAATATGGTTTCTACTAAGAGGAATAAGAAAAGTAAGGAAATACCTAAAGCAAAGTAAGTGACAAAGTTGGATTCAACGGCGGAAGGTGGAGTCTGGGGAAGACTGGATACGTCGGGCAGTAGAAGGGCGCGTAACTCTTCATCTAGTTCCTCTTGTTCATGATTCTGGGCTTTGCTTTCCGAACTGTTAGCTACGTCAATGCTCTGTTCCTCCGTCGACATCTAAATAACTCAAGAGTCAAGACACAGCTTGCCAATTGAGCTCCCAAAGACTGCAGTTCTAAAGCGTGCAAATATTGAATTGAGTTTGTGAAGTTGCGAGTCCCAGTCTCCTAAATGCTAAATAGCTCAAGCTTCGATTGGGCTTTCTATGAGAGTTTTGCTAGGCTCTCGGATTAAATAGCCCATTAAGGTATACTCAAATGACCCATTGCTAGGTAGCCCAAAGATGCATTCACAGGGACCTATCTCCAAAAGAACATCAGATCAGTTATAAAAAATTTATCGTCTTTAATTTAATTTTAATATTTTAAAAAGTCAGATCACTAAGTACGAAGTTCTTCCAGCAATAATTTTCTCCATACACGAAAGACCTTATTTAAAGAGCACAAGCGTTGAAAAATTGTTGATTCAATGATTATCTAGTTGCAAAAAGTTAATAGTTCCTGATGTCAATAGTTTTTGAGATTGAATGAAGATACTTGACACCGGATCAGGATACAATGGTGTGTGTGTTTTTACCTTTTTCGCCCCGCTTTGGGGGTGAGTGTGTGTGTGAGTGTGAGAGAGAGAGATGAATGAGTAGAAGAATAGGGTTATATGGCAGACACGAGTCTGAACGCAGCTGCTGAAGGCTACAAGTTCCACTTTCTCAGAGTTAGTCAGAATGCGTAATGCATCTGGATAAGGTTTTGCTGGAAACGAGCCCCATAGTGTCATGATTTTCACTTTTACTCTTTCTTTTTTTTAACCAAAAAAGAAAAATCACAGATGTCATATACTCGGTCTTACTGAAAAGGCCATGAAGAAAAATTCCAGAATTCCTGTTAGTTTTCTTCTTTTTGTCATCTCTTTTTGTCCCGGAACTCTATAGAAACTTGCCAGTAATACAATCCAAAAGATCTAAACTTATAACAAGAGTATTCATGTTACAACAAAATATATGGTATACTTGAGAAAGAAGCTTGTTTCTACAAGCTGCCCTTTTATTATCAGTGCACACAACCCATAAATCATACACGGAAGCTCCATGGGTTGAGGGGTTTGATCCGACCGACCGACCCAGATCACCACAAAAAAACAAAGAAACAAAGAAAGGGTGGCGGGCTGCTCCGATACAATAATATATAAGCACGCCTCTGCCGTTCTGGTCATGAAAATGAAGAACCCAGAACCCAGAAATAAGTGTCTATGTATATATATGTAAAGTTGGTGTAAGCTTTAGAACTGGACATGGCTAGAGAATGTCTGGCCAAAATTCCAAGAAGATGGAACCACATCTGGGAACAGTCTGGTTTCTCCATCACTGGTTGTGACCTTGAATGACAAAGATTGACCATTCAAATACGCATTGGATTGCCAGTTAGCTCCCCAGTTTCTGGACATAGACATCCACCCAGTCTTGGAGCCTTTGATGGACACAGAAGAGATGGATCCAGCACCTGCCACGTTGCTGATCATTACCAGCTCAAAGTAGTCTCTTCCATTCACAGTGAACCTAACCCCTCCGTGCTTTTTACACGGAACCCTGCACCATACAGAGCATTAATTCCATCTCTCAAACATTCAAAACAATCACACCAAGACGTATAGTGATTACTGAGAATAATAATAATAACCTTTGGAACAGGACAGGGATAATCCCTCCTCTGTAAATGCCGATCTTTTCCCAAGCTGGTTGAGCCATGTCGAAGTGCTGCAAAGGTGGGTTGCACCAACCTCCATTGTTGTTTGGAAGAGCATAATTAGGAGGACAGAAATTTGTAGCAGCTATAGTTACTGATATTCCTTTCACGCACCATCTGGGGTCTGTCTTATAATCGCACATGATTTTGTAGCATTGCCCACAGGAAGCTCCATCGTTGAACAAGGCTGTGCTTAAAGCTGCGGTTCTTGTCCCGTACCCAGTTGAGTACAGATTCCCATACCCACAAGCTCCTCCTGCAAGAATAACTCATTCATAATCAGATTTCATTCTTAATCATTGATCAACATTTCATTAAGCGAAACAAGAGTACGGATATTGTATAGCTTACTTACCCATGGTTCCTGAGGCATCGCTACCTCCATAGAAGGTGGCATGTCCTTTTGTCCACCCAGAAGGTGAGAAGGCAGAACCACTGACTGTGAAATACCATAATCCCACCAGGCTGCTGATCAAGAGAAGCATTGCTTTCTCCATTTTCTTGCTTTGCTTAAGAGTGACAGCTAAGTGAGCGAGCTGAGAATATAATGAAGAAGAGACCAGGGTGGAAAGTTGAGCTTGTATTTACATGTATTGTCATTTCCAAGCTCGAAATGTGTCTCCTTAAATAAGAGATTAGATTCACTAAAGGCAGCGACGGTCACATGGGAGTTCTGCAACAAGAGAGAACTCAGAGACAATTTTCATTGATTAAAATTAAATTATCTCTGCGGAACTGTACAGAGTTCTGACCTTCATTCAATTATTCCCACGTTCTCTTCTATCACACCCCTCCAAACCCACATGTCCATACCAACATTAGAGCCGTGAATGTATCAAAATCCACAAGCCCATTTGGTCCCCCTATTTTTTTTTCATCTTTTTTTTTTAAATTAAAGTCCTCGCCTGTTTTTGGTTCCATCTATTATTTCTGTTGATTTGTAGACCAATTGTTAATTAATTATAATGACAGCCAATAAGCAGCGTGTAATGTAGCTAAAGAAATAGTATAAAGATCGTAGTACCATACACGGTCACATGGGAGTATTTGACCCCATATGATATCAAGGTATTTTCAATACATTACCAACATGTGAGATGCCTTCCCTTGGCTATAGATCATCACGGGTTATGATATGCTGCAGCAGAACTCTCATGGGTCTGGGGTGGCAAAACTGTGATCGCTGTTCGATTCATTGATTTTGATTGTGTTTGGAAGATCTGAGATTAGGCAGAGAGACCCAGGCTGGCATCTAATGTTTCCAAGAATAGGCGGCGGCTGGCAAGGGTCACCGTTCACACAAATTGGATGTGACTGCAGAAGATGCTGGGCATTCATTTGTCTTATTGATTAAATACAATACATAACATTTCTTCTCACCCAAGATTTGATCTAAACTTGCCATGCTTTGCTAATGTAGCACCGTCAAGAAACTCGGATTTAAGTTTCAATATTCATATTTCGTCACCAAGGTCCCCTTATTGGACAGTCAATTCAAGATCCTCTTGACAACTGAAGCGTACAGTGAGGAGAGTTAAGACAAAAAATGAAAACCGTTTATCAATATAGACCTCATCGCATCTCTACAGCCTAATCGTTGAGGATTCACTTCACCTTGCGGATGTGCTTGTTATGTTGAGAACAAAAATTAGACGGGCTAAAACTATTTTTTTGGACCGAAGATGGTTGGTTACTTTGATTTGCAGATGACACGTTCTCATTTCCATCGTACATAATCTGCTCCCATTATTCTATTTGTCGAAGGGTCAGATATTATTTTTATTTTGTGATTATTTAATGAAAAAATAAACAATTAATGAAATCAAAATTGTAAATCTGCTAAATTAGTTACATCGCTTAAGACCCAAAAATGATTATATCGCTTGCTCTCAATTGAAAGATTCATGTGCGACCAACGCTGCCAATAATAGGTAGATTTCTTTAATGAACGCCCCTGAACCACAATGATACATTCTAAAGAGCTAGTCATTCTTCTCGCCGAAGTTCTAATTATTTAGTCCAGCATCGTGACAATACTAAAATAAGCAAAAATAACTTGTATTTTAATTTTCCAGTAAAAATCACCTTTTCCTTTTCCTTTTATTCAGTTATCAATGTTTCATCGAAACAGAAAGGTGCTAGATCAAGGAAATAGCCTGTTATAGCCACTAGATTAGGCGGAGATCTCCATCTCGAACTTAGCTATCAATGATTCCTGCATTACTAATAATATAGGAGATAGACCTAAATTCCAACATCTAACCAACCAAAAATAAAAAAAAAAAACTTATTTTTACAAACTTAATATATTTGTTTCCAATTAACTTAAGACACATGGATGTTTTATAAATTATTTATTATATAACAAATTATTATTAATATTATTAACACATTAAAATTTACTTGTTATGATTTGATCTGATATAAGTATATCAAGTTAATAATACTAAATATATAAGGCTCGCCCAAAATAAAAAAATACTCTTGCAAACTCATTCAACATCACGCATCCTTGTTCTCACTATGCCCCCACGAAATATATTAAATCTCAATAATGCCACATGAAGATTGGAGCAAATTGAATCAAGTTTCAGATACCTTCAACCTCACAGAGCAAAAGCGAACAGATAATCATAGTTTATCACCATGAATAGAAGCAAAACAGAGAAGTTTTCAACATTTGCCAGATCAACCAAGGACAGAATTCCATCTTCTATGTTAATAGAAATTATGGACCTCGTCCGAGGGAGAAATAAGAGCAGAGTTAGAAATGAATACCCTGACAACAACTGAGATGACTAGAACACGATCATTCTCAGAAATCATCATCCTCCTCCTCTTGAATGTGCTTAGCTAGTTCTTGCTCCTGCTGCTGCCTTTCTCTTCGCTTCTCAGCGCTTTCCTTCTCATTGTGTGTGTTTGGCGGGAAACGCAGCGCACGGATGGCCTCATTATGCATGTTGAGACAGAAGGCAATACGAGAATTAAAAGCCAATTGAGGCTCAGTAGTGGAGTATACATCTCCCGTTTCCTTAGATACCATACACCCATTACCATGGTCCAATGTTGCATCAATTGCACCATCTCTGATGGCCTTGGCTACAATGCTCTCAGCATCTGAAACGGGATTTGCAGAGTTTAACCTTAATTTTTGTGCCACATCAGCAAGCGAGATACGAGAATAAGAAATGCTAATGTTCCGTAAACCAGTCCTGATGACATTGTGACGCAACCTAACAATCAAATTATGAGTTCCATCAGCACTAAAAGTAGTAGCGAACTTATCTGCAACATTCCTAAATAGCTCCAGGTCTCCAATTCGAACAGCCTGAAATTCCACAAAATTGATCAAACACTACTGCATTTAGGATGTTCAATAAAATTGAGTGAAGCTAAAATAACACCCCAACAACAATAACAACAACAACAACAAGCCTTTATCCCACTAGGTGGGGTCGGCTACATGGATTGCAAGACGCCATTGTGCTCTATCATTTATCAAGCTTTTAGGAATATTATAAATTAAGAGATCGCGTTCAACAACTTCCAAGAGTGTTCTCTTAGGCCTTCCTCTACCTCTCTTAATCGGACTCAAAGTTATATGTTCCACTCTTCTCACTGGTGCCTCCCTTGGTCTTCTTTGTACATGCCCACACCATCTCAACCGATTTTCTACCATTTTTTCCTTAATAGGTGCCACCCTAACTTTTTCGCGTACGTGCTCAATTCGAATTTTAT